GACCATAGAGATTGAGCAGCCTTCTCTTTAAAGCCAAAAGAACAGCAAACAAATCTTGGAGAAGATTAGCACATACACTATTTCCAAAACACAAGTATTCCTTTTAATGTGACCATGTAATATAGAAGGCATCTAATTCCTGTTTTCTTCCCTAATACATCTATGGTAGTTCCAAAAAGAAACAAAGATGAGATCAGCATTTGAGGAATGTTCTGAGAGGAGATCAAACAGGTTAATCAGTGTACAACACAATTTCTATTGTCTGAATATCAAGTTGCATTTAAAATATGGTTTGTTTGATTTTTTAAAAAAAAAAAAAAAAAAATGCAGTACCATGCCTTCATAGGTTTCTGCTCTCTTGCCTAATTGTCATTTTTCTTTTTCTACTCAACTGAATCTTGCTCAGTGTTTACACACAGTGGGGGTGGGATTGGGCCACAGAGGCTGCTGACAACCAAGTGAGCATGGACAAGCCACGACAATAGAGTCAGAACCAAATCCAAGGGAAAAAGAAAACTTCAGCACAATGCTTTTTTGAGAGTTGTGCTGCATTTCATTTGGGAGCTGGACCTTCTGAATCCATAGAAAAGCTGTTAAAATTATCAACCAGGTTTTCTGCTCTCCCAGCTGCTTCTTTTGAGTACTAATATATACAGCTGCTCTAACCGGACAGATACGGGCTCTACACTCAGCCATGGGGCAGGAAGGGAGAAGAAGTACTGAGAAAGCACCTTAAACGGGACAGGCACGTATCTGGATAAAAACTGCTGAATTTGACTTTCAAGACAATAAATTAGCACTTTTGAAGCCCTCAGCACTGATGTCAGACATAGGCAGTATTGATCGAAGCTATGCAGGCAGGCAAAGCACATCTGTAGTACTGAAGCCTGCTAGGATGGCAATACCCAGACATGATCAAAAAAGTTTAAAGTTGCTGCTGCAGTCAGTATTGTAACTATTTCTTGGGAGAACGCCTTATACCTACAAATTAATCATAGCAACAATGTTGTGAAGCTGTTTCCCAACCTAGGCTTCTGAGATCACTCTTTAGCTCTGCATTTGGAAGGAAGACCTCTTCCTCAGGGGCTCTGCCAACACTTTTTATTTTTTTATAAAAGTATCTACATCCAAGGCTCCTGATGGAAATCCAGTCAAGGTTCTCACAGTGCAATTCCATGTCCTAAGAGCATGAAAGTCTTCTGTCACCAGCATTTGTACCTCTGCTTAAGGAAACTGTACTCAGAAATCACAACTCTTTTGTCCCCGTATTTTTTTGAAGTCACTAGTGATGGGGGAGTGAGGGGGGGCAGCGTGTTCCAGACAGTAATAATATTTAATAATAGCACAGTATCTTTAAGATATGAAAGTTGCACAAGTGTGTTTTTCTTTTTTTAAATCACGTTTGCTAAAAGTGAAAGATGTGGATCAGCTGCCACAGTAGCGCAAGGGCTAGACAAAGGAGGCCGATACCCTTCCACCTGAGCAGCCAGCCCTGCGCGCAGCCCCAGCCAGCTCAGCAGGTGTCTGACTGCCCGTTCAAAGGCTCCGTGGGGAACCGAGGGAACTCTAGCCACTGACTTAGGAGTGAGGAGGAGAAAGCGTGGGAGACAGAGAGTGCTGTGGGAAAGGATCATAGAAAGAACGTGTAGCTGATGCTTGGCGAGAGGGAGCTACCCAAGTAAACTGAGATTACAGCAGCAAAAATAAGCAAGCAAGCACACATCTGTTTCAATCGGTCTGAGAAGCAAAATTACGCATGATTCTTTTTTGTGGTCTTTCTGTCACTGTGAGAGTGTGCTGCCCAATTTCCCCAAAATCTTCACATTCTGATTACCAGGGCTAAGACAGAGCTGGACATACTCTGCTCCCAGAAGGTAAGAAAAACTAGGACTTCAGAATTGCAGCATGCAGACAGACAAGACTTTGCCACTCAAGCATTTCACGTGCACACTTTAAGCCCACAAAACAGCACCAGGAGGTTCAAGTACCTGAGCACAACAGTAGCATTTGAATATGGTGACCTCAGAACAGGGAGCAACATGCACAGACACAAAACCAAACCAATCTAGGTGTGAGGAAATGCGGTATGGGATCATACTGGGAGGAATGAGTCACGTCATACAGCTGGTTCAAAACAACTGCGCTCACTGGAACCTTACACTACTGTAACTCACTGTGTAAGAAAGCGACGGTATTGCTACAGCAAATCAAACCAGAATAAGGCAGGAATAAAGTAGGGAAAATGGTGCATAAATAAAAGCTTATATTCGCAAGTGCAGAAAAAGTTTGTATAAAAAAGGCAGTTTTCCATTAGTGTTTTTTTAATTGTGGAGTGACTGATAGTTTTGGGGGTTTTTTAGCTATACAGTTACTTCCATACTACATAGTATAAGTCTCGGCCAGGTCTTCAGCAACCAAGAAGTTCTTTGCATGTCAACAGATCTACCTTTTCAGGCCAGACAGCTCCATCAAATCATCAGTATTTCAGCTTATAAGGCATTTGTTATCTTGATTCATAACACCAACTATAACATGAGTTTCTCAACAATAAAGTAGGAATAAAGGGTGAAGTCCTCTTTTCCGAAGTACTCAGAGATCTACCTATTAAAGATGCTCAGGAAATTTTTTGTTACACATTAACATGGATCTGCTCTGTACTGCAGACCCAAGGCAGTGGCAAGGGTCTCCCTTGCCGAGGAACAGAATAAAAGAGCTATGACATCCCTCCCCCCCCATTTTCTATTGAGTGTAAAGACAGCATGAGGTTAAGGTTAAACCTGGTAACACAGATTAATGTGCATTGTCTTCTCCATGGTAACTCGCATGTTCACATGCATTGTTTTCTGCAGATCAAACTGTGGTAAATACACGGTAATTCAAGCTTTACCATCCCCCAGAGAAAGAAAAGCAAACAATTTTATGTATCCTGTAGGTACTCCAGGGTAGGCGCATTCCCACCGTTACCATGGAGCAGCCCTGAGCCATTCATGTGTCCCACCCGACAGTCCTGCCCTCTGAGCAAAGAGGACAAGGAGAGGAATTCGCATGAGCTGACAACGCCGGAGACAGGATTCAGAGCTCAATTCGTCTCCTGTAATAACCTGTCACAGCCAAACGATACATTAAATCAAGAAAAAATCTGCCTTTAAGAATCTTAATGCCCCCCCAAAAAACCCTCTTCCAAAGATAAAATGATGCTCCAGTAGAGGTCTTCATGTTGTAAACAGGTAGGGGAATAAAAAACAACAAAACAAAAACCCCAAACCAAAAAACAAACCCAAAACAACCCAGAAACCACCACCAACAAAATAAATCCCCCAGCCACTGTGACACTTGCACTCCAATCCAAATCAGGGGAATACAAGTGGGAAGTATCCGAGGAGGAGTCAGGACTAAGGATTCTGCTGTACATGTTATTAAAACGTGCTTTTAATTTCTCAGACTACAAGCTAAAGCCTGTAATAATGTCACTTGGAAAACAGAAGGCTGAGTGAGCATCTGAGGGTGAAAAGGAATGTTTTTACAGGCGCAGTTAGTAAATACCACTGGCTCCTGCAGACATTCTTCCTTAAATGGAAATTAACATTGCTTTAGGTTAGGGGAAAAAAAAAAAAAACAACTCTCGATACAATAGAAGTGATAGGCTAGCTATTAACCTTTTAGCACCTGCACTAAAAGATATAAAAATTAGCAGGAGACTTTATATATATATAAAAAACTTTTGTTCAATAAATCTTTAAAACCCTTCCCCTCCCCTGCCACAGGACTCTTGTCTGTATGTTTGGAAGAGTAAGGAATCCAAAAGTCTCTCAAACACTATTAAAACAACGTGGAAATAAAAAGTCTCTCTGCACATCTATGACTAACTGTATGAGGGCACCAGACAATTTAAAGAAAGGAAACTACACCAGATAGAATCAGAACTGAACCTTCACCCTGAAGTTGAGCCAAACTTTGTTTGGACACTGAAATAACTCTGCATTGCTTTGATTTTATTTTTACTTCCTATTTTTTATTTTCACATGCCCCTCGCAATTGCTTTTTCCACCCAAGAAAACAAGACTTCTCCCTCCTCCAAGATTCCTAACAAATTTAACAACATGAAGGGTTGAGGCTCCACAACAGCTTAAATTAGCCCGTGTCCATTTAGCCATACTCCAGCTCTCCCTCTTTCCTGCTCCTGTCCATGGGCATCTACCAGCCCTCAGCATCACCTCCCCTGACACTGGCAAGCCACGTCAGGGTAATTCACTAGTAGAAAGCTACCTCTGTAAAAAATGGATAGTCTTGTGTACACCTTGGTCTCGCTAACTGCAGGATTAAATGAGTGCCAGGGCCAGCAAGGTAAAGTCAGGTAAAAGCAAGGATCCAGAGCAGCCTGGACATGGAAAAGGTTAAACTCGCACAAAATTAAAGCCTCAGCAGTTCAAACCAGAGAAATACCGAAGTATTCATCTAAAAGTACATACTAATGTGGAACATTATTAACTATTTTGAGACATAAAGAGTCCCTGATAATAGTGAACACCATCTATTTTTAAGGAAAACAAACTATTGATTCAGATTTCAGCACTCTGACACATGGCCAAGGTGACTTCTTTAACCTGCAGGTTGTATGGGCTACAGAACAGTTTTCCCCTTGTAATGCGCACGGCTGCTATTACTCTAAGTAGCAACCAAAGGACTACTACAGAGCTGCAGAGCTCATCCATCCAACCAATGGAAGTTTCACTACCATGCCACGTAACACCATGGCCCCATGTTATGATTCCTAAGGTAAAAAAGCCCATCAGGAGCCAAGGACAGTAGTTTAACATGCTCCTTCTTACAGCCTGGCTCCACACGCAGCTGGGCCATGGTAGCTGAAAGAAAACTGCAACATAAACATGAGTGAGCATGATGGAGAGACAAGACAAGCTGGACTTCTTAACCTGGCTTTTCCATCAGAAACAGCATGAACTCAGAAATACCTACAGACCGGTCAAACAGCCCAGTCTCACCTTCTGCTCATCCTGGAGCCTGCACTGCCCATCGTTCCGTCCTGGCACAATGTTCACCTGTACAGGAACTGATCCTGCTGTCAATGAATCCATCCAAACCCAACAATGTTACTTTCAGACCTGTCACTTCCCCTATTAGAAAAGCAAGCGTCCACATACAACAAAAGGGACAGCAAAAGGACAGGAGCCACTAGACCTGGCCTAAGTCCTTGTGAAATTTGTATCGAATTACGCCCTCTTGGCACAGATATGCAAAAAAGTCATTAAAATATGTATACCTTGCATACATAGCGTTCCTCACATTAGTAATGTCTCCTGCTAACACATGCAAGTAATTTTAGGAAGAACTATCCATTGAAATCAAGACCGCAAAGATCATAACACAGCTATTACACTATGCCCTATGTACTACAGCTTCGGTGTTCTATTACTGCTTTAAGACAAGTTTTCCACATCTTTTTTAAATGGAACTCCTTTTTCTTGAAACAATTAGAGCTCTATTCACACTTCCATGATTTTTTTAATTGCAGTTCTGACACGGATTTATAACAAGATAAAAAGAAGGTATTGTTGATTAAGCTGTATAGTTTATGTCTGAAACGTAAGTCTGGCCTAGGATTTTTCTGGCTGTGAATCTGAACGACGCGAAACAGCTAGGTTAACATTTGGCTATCCTTATATATAATGGAGTATCTTATTAACTAGACTTGGGATCATAAGAGGCTCTGACTCTCTTCTGTATCCACTTTTTAATTTATAGTTTGTGTTTGAAGACTGTTTTTAAAATGTGTAGAGAAGGAAGAAAGACATCAGTACATCTATGCACTGTCATATTAAACACCCACAAAGGCTTTCACAGTCATTCACCACTGATATCAAATGCTCTAAAAAAGGATTTCTCCCAAAAGTCCAGTTAACATTATAACATTATAGACAACTTACTAGGTCAGTGACAGCAAAAAATCACCTTGCAAATAGGATGCAGATTGATTCACTTATTCATCTCACTGAACCTAGTAAGATTTGTTGTTTTTGCAACAAAATATGTTACACAAAACCCCAAACAAACAAACAAACAGCCACACACAAAAAAAGGGCATAGAGTAGTCTGCCTAGAAAAGCAATCTTCACTGGAAATCTTAAAGAACACATCCACGTCAGATAAATGTCAGGGATAACACAGGTACAAGGATCCTGTTGGGACAAGATGACAAACTAGATGATTCTTCAAGGTCTCCTGCAGCCTTATTTTCCAAGGTTTTATAACAGTAAAAACTTGGCAGGGAAAGTTGCAGTGGCAACACATGTAACAAATAAGGATAACAAATTGCACCAAGAAAATATTTCTCCCCACCAACCTTCATGCATACATCCCACATAAACCAACTGCAGTTGCACAGCAAACTGGGAGAAGCAAGCAGAAGAATGAGGGCAATTCTGCTAGCACACCATCCAGCAGGTATGGGACTCCAGCACTCCAGCTCTTCATCGGAAGATAGGCACACACATCAAGAGCTTCCTAAGAAGAATATTGCTCTATTCTCAGAAGGAACAGTATTAAAAAAGAAAGAAAAAGAAAAAGGTTGTTCTACACCTGCTTTGCTCTCAATCACATTCCCTGCCAATACAGGATGCTGGGGTGGTTGGAGTGTTTCTCTGAATGAGGACAACTGCTCTTACGTCATTTTGATGTACAGACTTCTTCTGTTCTCTTTTTTTTTTTAAAAGCATAGAACATCAGTTCTTAAATCACATTTTTTCCCCTCTTGACCTTATCCAATGGTCTGCATCATAGTATTAACTTCAATTACTACTAGTCTATTGTATCTACTGAAGAAGCTGTTATCCATATCCATTTCCCCTGCTTGTTTAGTCAAAATTACTACCTTTCTTACGACCTCTGCCTTCCTAATTAACATAAGCTATTCACAAGAACACTACAATAGACTTCTGTGATGAAGGTCTCAAAGATCCAGTTAAAATCCTAGGAAAAAAAGATCTGCTAAATTACACTGCCTGTTCTTTAGTCAAGAGAATTAAATAAAATAGATCTCCCACTAATTTACCAGGAACTGACATCTATCCAGCTAGCATCTACCGATCTAGATTTATGCTCTTGGATTTGCTTTTTTAATTACAAACATAATTCTATACTCAAAATCTCTGAAAACTTCTCCAGTATTCCAAGGTTTCTGGATCAGAGACTGGTTTGGTCAACTGCTTTGAGTGCAAGTTATCTGGACATGCTCACTTCCAAATGTTTATCCTTACTGGAGATGAACTAACTCCCTGGAAAATCCTCTTCTGACATGAATACTTACTCCTGTTTCCACCAGGCAGAAAACAGAAATATTTCTCAAATATGTACTCCTAATGGCAAGCACTCATCAATGTAGCATAACACCACCATCTAACCAGAAAGACAAAACATGACTTAGATTATGACCAAATAATTTTTTGAGGAACCAATGGCACATTTAAGTGAGATGGGATCCTCCAAATGAAATGTAGCACTTGGCCATGGCCACGCCACCAGACCTCTGAACTGAAAGGATTCATTTGAAGTGCCGAAACCGACTGAAACAACCACCTTATTTTGCATTGTAACAGGCTAACAGCACACCCCCACCAGTAACTCCACCTTGAGTGAGAAAGGCAAGCAGGAGGCACCAAAACCAATACTAACACCATGATAGTTGACGGCTGACCATAACCCCAAGTCTACAGCAGGCAGTGCCTTGAGGATCTCTCTGGCAGATGAATGCAGCTTCTACTGGAAGCAGGACAGGTCCAGTCCAACCTGTAGCGGTCACAGTTCTCAGTAACAGATGCTGCTGTGCACTTCCAGAGGAAAGATCTGAAAGCCACTGGCTGAATCATCTATCTCTGTGTGGAGCCAAGTGCTGGAAACATTGGGGATTGATCTGACTACACTGGCTTTGATATGTGACTTATTTATAATCTTTTTTTAAAAGAGACAAGAATTGTAATTTTTTTTGTTTTTCTTTTTAATCAGTCCAACAGTTTGTTTTATTTATTACACTCCTACAGTGCTTTAATTTGTGGTTTTCTTCAGATGCCACCCTCCACTGAGCTGCACTACTGGCAAAGCTAACCACGCTGAGCTTTTAGTTATTCAACAGCACAGACTAAACATTTACCTCTATTTGCCACAAAGCACATGCACTACTACAGTCTATTCTTAAAGACAAAATTTTAATTGAATACTTGTAAAGAATGCCTATTTTGAAACACAGCTTTCAATTGCTCTGTGAAACCCTGTGGCAAGGATATTGTGCATTCCTAGGAGGATTTAAATTAGTTTGCTGCAGAACAAAACCTGGGTTACGGATAGTAACTTGGATACAGTCACACACACGCACAAAAGAGAACATTCTCATTCCTCCTGATCTTTTTCCTTGAAAAACACAACCATCAACATGCAAAGTCCGTTTTAATAAGATAATGTGAGGGGTTTTTTGGTGAGTTAAAAATACTTCTTGCAATAGTGTTCCTAAACCAAATTAAACTTGCTTGTACTTCTCGAAACCACTACAGAATATAACTTTGTAAAATCCTATGATATTTGAAGTTGAAGCTGCTAGTTTTAAATTGACATTTGAAAACATAATTTTACATTAAGGACTGGAATTGTACATCTCAATTTCAAATGCAATTCCTGATTTTTTAATAAGATTTGAGATATGTTTGTCTTAAAATAATTTCTTACTTGTTCACTCCAATCTGATTTTTTCTCTCAGCCTATCAGTAGGGCATCAGAACAAAAACAGGCCTTAACATAAAAAAGAAACTTAAAACAGTCTCATTAAATCAAATCTTCTCAGCATTCAGTTCCCATCTTCTAAGGAATCTTCATATACATGATAATTAGTTTCCTGAAAGGCTAAGGCTTAAATGTCATTTCTTTGTGTTGTAAATGCTAATTATTCATAGTAAATAAATTAGTGATACCCTTTTATTGCTTAAAGCAATGCAGAAGCTTGAAGCAATCATACAACTGGCAAAAATTAGGAGTTCCTAAAAAAGGAAGTAAAACTTCATTCTTCACATTCCAGTAGACTTAAAAAGGGCTCCATTAACACTAACGGGGAAAGGGCCAGTGACCTAGAACTTTACTCGTGGTCCGAAACTATTAATGAAGTCTGAAGAATAAAGAGTAATGGGTATTCAAAATCCAGCTCCTGTGATGTAGCAGGAGAATGAATAAGCTGTGCTCTAATTTACTCTGACGTGCAGCACATCATGGCTGCAGAAGCAGTACGTTAGAACAGACCATCTTTCAGGAGTCACATTCTTGGGAAACGGCTGATTCCTGGGAATTCTCACACTACCTTTAGTTTAACAGGAAAATAGTTTTAAAACAAACAAACCAACCACCAAATAACTTTTCTTACACTCAAGTCATAAAGAAAGAAAAACGGGGGGGCAGGGGGAACATGGATGACACACGATACACACATCTTATTTAGCCTTATTTCAGGAGACTATAAAATCAAATGCATTTTATGGCTACTCTACCATGATTATTGAACACTATTGAGCCCTAGCCCATCCATAAATTTTACACTATGGATGTCATGTTTATTCACTACTGGAAGACAGAGCCAACCTGAGCGTGCCCCTTGAGAAGCTCCCTCAAACTGTCAGAGAAAAGACTTTTAGGCATCTCAATAGCCAGCTCTTGTTCACTAGCACATGCTTTACTGATAAATAAAAATAGAACATTGACAAGTATTAGGATGACGAAATTACTTTGAACTTTCTGCAAATTACTTTTGGGCTCCACAACTTGATCAAGCACTTTATTAACAAACAAGCCATTCCACACCATTCCAATTAACAAAGCAAGTGGAGATTTCATTTTTGTATTGCCCAAGTATAAGTTTAATATCAGCATGACTACAGAGTCAAATCAACATCAAAGGACAGACCTTATTTTCAACCTAGGAACAAAGAAGAACTTCGCCACTGGAAAGTACATATTTGAGGATTCATATTGTCTATTAAGGGAAGCTAAAAAAAAAAAAAGTCTTTTAGAAGTTGGTTTTCTGAAAGGAAACCAAGGAAATGAA